TAGTGGGTGTGCAAGAGGCAGCTGGCTGATGTTTCTCTCTCATCGACGTTTCTAGCTCTCTATCTCTCTCTCTTCTTCTCTGTGAAAAATCAATAAAATATATATATATTTTTTAACAATTCTGATGTGTACAGAATTGCCAAGTTGTTTCTCAAAAAGGCTCTATCAATTCATATTCCAAACCATGGATATTAACAATCTTTTAAATTTCTGCTAATCTTATGCATGAAAATAGTATCTTAATGATGTTTTAACTTGCCTCTCCCTACTAGAGATCTGAGGTCTTTCCTCTGTGAGCTGACTGCTTATATGTTTGGCTTCTTTTTCCAGTGACTTGTCCTTTTCTTTGCAAGTTGGGCTCTGAATATGAAGGATATTAACCACTGTGGGCCAATATTTTTCCCAGTCCATCACTCAGCTCTTCACTTTGTTTATGACAACTCCTGTTGCCTACTACTATAACAAGAATTGTGAATATTTTTTATCTTTGGCAAGAATGAGAACCCCAAAACAATTCATATTTTTTCTACAATTCTCCAGCCTCTCTCCTTCCAGTTTTGTTTCCCATTTACTACAGAGCATCCTGGATAATCTTTTTAAACAAAATCATCTGCCTACTTAAAATCCTTCAAAAGCTTTCAGTTGTCATCCTGATAAAAGCCAAATGCTTATCCTGGCAGACTAGATTGGCCTCCGTCTACCTCTTAAACCTTTATCTCACACTCCAATCAATACAGGTGTTACCATCCACGCTCACAATTGCACAGAGAAACAAAGGAACCGTTCAACCTCACCCAGGTCAAAAATGGCAAAGCAGAGAACTCCAGTGTGCCAAGTGACAAAAGCTCTATTTAAAACGTCAACACGGCACCAGTAACATGTTTCAAACGCTACAACTCAAGGAAACTTGCAGAACGATACGGGGTACTGATAGTAAAACAAAACCCTAAATTGTCCAGCTATGAAAGAGAGAGAGAGAGAGAGAGAGAGAGAGAGAGAGAGAGAGAGAGAGAGAGCGAGCGCGAGCGAGCGCGCGCGCCCCGGCTGGTTTTCTCAGTGATTAGAAAAAAAACCCTGTGGACTGAAGGGTCGCGGGTGCGATTCTGGTCAAGGGCAGGTAACTCTGTTGCAGGCTCAATCCTTGGGGCCCCTGCGGGAGGCAACCAATAGATGGTGTCTCTCTCACACATCGATGCTTCTCTCTCTCTGTCTCTCCCCCTCCTTTCCACTCTCTAAAAAATCAATGGCTAGCCGAAACCGTTTTTAGCTCAGTGGATAGAGCATCTGTCTGCGGACTGAAGGGTCCCAGGTTCGATTCCGGTCAAAGGCATGTACCTTGGTTGCGGGCACAATCCCGGTAGGGGGTGTGCAGGAGGCAGCTGGCCGATGTTTCTCTCTCTCATCGATGTTTCTAGCTCTCTATTCCTCTCCCTTCCTCTCTGTAAAAAAATTAATAAAATATATTTTAAAAAATAAATTTAAAAAAATCAATGGATAAAATAACCTCGGATGAGGATTAACAAAAAACAAAACAAAGAAGACCAAAGTCACTGTTCTGCGCGGGTGTTACTTTCATACAAACTCCTTATTTTTTTAAAAGGACACACAGCATCTCGCCCAGCACAGAAGAGACAGGGTGGCATTTCCCGGGCGGGCACCGGGACGCCCGGACGGACCGGCGGACGCGAGGGGCAGACCCGGGCCTTACCTTCCTCGTCGTCCTGGTCCGCGCTGGTCCCGGCGCCCGGCCAGTCCTGCGCGTCGCCCTCGGCGGCCCCGGCCTCCTCCTCTTCGGAGCCCGAGCCCTGGCTGAAGTCGATCCGCTGCGCCAGGCGCGCCAGGTTCTGGGACATGGACAGCGGCTGCAGGTACGTCTCCGTGCCATCCAGGCCCACCTCCTGGACCTGCTTCTCGCAGGCCGACTCGATGCTGATCCGCACGGCGCGCACCCCGGACATGCTGGCGGCCGGGCCAGCGGCGGGAGGACCCCGCGCGAGCCAGACACCGAGCGGGGAAGCGGGAGCGACTCCGCGGGGAGCCGGAGGCCTGGGGAACGCGGCGCCCCCGCGGGCTGTCGGGAAACCGGGCCGCTGCTCCTCCGCCGGAAACCAAGCGGAGAGCCCGGCCGCCTTCCCAGAATGCACCGCTGCGGGACCCTGTCCGCTGCGCATCTCGGGGAACGAAATCGACGGGGCGCGCGCTCCAGCGGCTTCCGGGCAAGAACTTCCGGTGAGTTCGCGTGCGGCGGCGGTGGCGGGAAGGTTTGACTGCTGAAGGCGCGGAGCGCGGCGGGAGCTGGGGACCCCAGTGCAAAGAGCGTAGGGAGGCTGGTTCCTGGGGTTCGTCTGCATTTTAGGTGTTATTTGTTCCAAAGTCGTGGAGGAGGGAAAACTGGAGAACGCCGGAAAGAGGTAGGGAAGGAAATGAATGGGTCCCAGGATCTTAGCATGGGAATTCCCCTGGAAATGCTGAGATTTGATGGCTTACACCTGGAGTAGAAACGTGTCTGAAGAGTTCCAAAATAGGGTGTAGTTTGAGGTGGGGGCGGGGGAGGGGGATTGTGCTTATTACTAGTTAAAAATATCCTTCATAATTACTTTATTCGCTGCTTTCCAGTTAGTTGTAGGTTTCATGACGGCGGCTGTCTTCTACAAGCCTAATAGACACAGGCATGTATGCGCTTAATAAACATTTATTTTATGCCTGACAGGGGATAAGTAATATGTATAAGATTAAGAAGTAGTGGTAGTCCGGCTGGGGTGGCTCAGTGGTAGAGCATCAGCCTATGAACCAGGAGGTCACGGTTCAATGATTTGGGTAAGGGCACATGCCGGGGTTGTGGGCTTGATCCCCCAGGAAGGGGCAGGCAGGGAACAGCAAATCAATGATTTTTTTTCTCATCGTTGATGTTCCTATCTCTCCCTCTCCCTTCCTCTCTGGGAGAAAATATATATATTAACTTCAGTGTCTTGAGTCCTCCCCTCCTCCACCAAAGTATTGCATTACTAATAATTTCACCGGGAAAAGATGGATTATTTCCTATTGCAAAACTTTACTTAATTTATGGAATTATATATACAATTTAGGAATCTTTCCAAGTTTTATTCTGACCAAATATCCAAGTTTTTTTTTTTAGTTTTTTTTTTTTAACAACTTTATAAAGTTATTCAGGAAAAATAAATATGCCTGATGTTAGTCTCTACCAAAACAGAATATACGTGGCAGGGTGTGTTAGAAAGGGGGAGGGGGGGTTGATGTTTGAATTTTAAAGAGTAACCTATTTTTGGCAAGCATAATCATGTTTAAGATATAGTGTGCTTGACTATTTATGCCAAAATTTGTAAAAAGTTTGAATCCTTTATTTTAAATTTAATATTTTTCATAGGTTCTAGTTGTGTTAGTTACTGTGCCTTTAAACATATTTCTCATTTCATCTTTATAAGGTGCTCATACTTCGGCATTTGGCTGGGGCATTGCAGTCCCTGCTGGGCTTATTCACACACTTGAGAGCCAGATGACCTATAGTGGGCTCAGCTGGTTGATTCTATTTCGAATTATAGGTCTATAGGCACTCTGATGACTCTGTACCATACATCTCTCATTCTTCTTGTATTTTATGGCAATGGCAGAGATACAAGAGGTAAGCCTTGCCTGGCTGGTGTTGCTCAGTCGGTTGCATGTCGTCCCATGCACTAGGAAGTTGCTGGTTCTATTCCCAATGAGGACACATGCCCAGGTTGTGGGCTACACCCACAGTAGGGGGCATGCCGGAAGCAGCTGATAGATGTTTCTCTCTCATTGATGTTACTCTCTCTCTTCCTCTCTCCTCTCTCTGAAATCAATAAAAACATTTTTTTAAAAATTTTTAAAAAGAGGCACACCGTGCCTGCATTACATGCCTAACATCCATAAGTCCCATGGCCAAGCTCAAAAGTCAAGGGTGGGCCGAAACTGGTTTGGCTCAGTGGATAGAGTGTTGGCCTGCGGACTGAAAGGTCCCAGGTTTGATTCCGGTCAAGGGCATGTACCTTGGTTGCAGGCACATCCCCAGTAGGGGGTATGCAAGAGGCCGCTGATCAATGATTCTCTCTCATCAATGTTTCTAACTCTATCCTCTCTCTCTTCCTCTCTAAAAAATCAATAAAATATATATTTTTTTAAAAAGTCAAGGGTGGGAGAAGGAATACATTCAGCTTTCTTACTTGGGAAAACTATAGAACAGTGCTTCTCAACCTTTCTAATGCCTCGACCCTTTAATACAGTTCCTCATGCAATGGTGACCCCCAACCAAAAATTATTTTCGTTGCTACTTCATAACTGTAATTTTGCTACTGTTATGAATTGTAATGTAAATATCTGTGTTTTCCGGTGGTCTTAGGTGACCCTGCTAGCAGTTCTCGACCTATGGGTCGAGACTGCTACCAAACTCCTACCGTATGTCACCTCCCTAGCTAAGTTTCAACAAGCAATACAATATTTTGTTTAAAGAACTCAAGGGCCTGAACAGAACTCCGGGGGCTCCCCATCTTCATACCCGCCAGGATTACAGGTATACATTAAAACCTGGAAAGAAGGAACTCCAAGCACTCAACACCCCTATGAATAGGGCCTTTTACTGTCCTGTCCTCCACTTCCACAGGAGTCAAGATTGCTGTCATCTCTAGTTGGATATGTCACACACACGTAAAACTTATTTCAACTCTACTAACCACGAGTAAAGCCTTATTGCAACTCTACTAAGCCTGAGAAATCAAGCAAGATATGGGAATTTGAACCAATTGAAAACTTAAAGTTTCTCTTCAAGAAAAAGACAACCCTCAGATAAGTTTACTTCTCAATTTCAGTTATTATTTATAAACTCCTTAATATCCTTTTGGTTTGGCTTTCTACTCCTCTGCTGTCTTACAATTCCTCCCTCTTCCCTGTGAAAACCTTCTCAGAATTACTCTTTATTAGATCAATAATTCTTTCCAAAACTCTTCTTGGCTGCTTACTTATTTATGCACTCCTTGCTTAGACCTTTTCTACAATCTTACACAATGAATAATTTCCTTCTATTCCTATTTCTGACTTCACAAGTCTCTTTAGGACGAGGCACAATAAACAACACTCTAAAACCAGAACCACAACCATGGGACCAAAACTCATTAATTAGGATTACCAAGGCTATAGCATCGGGGAACATCACTAATTGCTGGGTCTGTCACAAGCACCCAAAAGCTTTAGGCCCCATACAATATTTAGCTAAGCCAGAGAACAGATTCGGTAATGAAACCTGGCGCTCAGAGCTAGCATATATTTCCAAACCAAGTACGTATGCCACCCTTTTCACTCTGGTTAACTTAACTTCCTCTCCATCTATCTGCCTATATACTGCAACATCTAAACATAAGCCTGCTCGTCTGGGAAAAGAGTTTCCTGTCTGCAACAAAACTAAGACTGCTCTGTGTAAACTTAGAGCCTTATATTATTCCACGTTGTGGCCAGCGAATATTTCCTCATGTAGCACCATTGTTCCTATGGTTTTAACTAGCTCCTCCAACACAATCTGTGTTCCTGAGGGAATGGTTTACATATGCGCATATTCCATGAACTGGACGGCAGGCACTGGTTCCGTGCACACCACCCCCACGGGATACATGGCCACTTCATGCCTAAATCCCTATCTCATTTATGGAATGTGCACCGTAGGATATTTAACTCCTAGCCTGGCCATCTACAAGGAAACATCAACACCTTCCCAGCACAAGAAAGGACTCCTAGACAACAACCCCTTAACTTGGACAAGAAAGTCCTTTACTTCCCTTGTCCCCTGGGCAGGATACATGGAACATGAATTCATCCTTCTTAATCTCACAGCTGAATTAGAAAAGCTCTCAAGTGAAACAGGGGGAGCCCTCTATGAACTACAACAGTCCCTCAACTCTTTAACCAATATAGGCTTGGACAATCGGATTGCCCTGGACTATCTTTTAGCCGCAGAAGGAGGGGTCTGCGCTATTCGGAATACTGCATGTTGCACCTACATCAATAACTCCGCCAAAGTAGAAACAATACGTGAGATTCTAAACCACACAACCTGGTTAAAGAACCTAAGAGAATCCTAACTTTTGCCAGGTCTGGCAACCTCACTTGCTTAAAATTGGAAAAATTGGTTATGGTCTCTCCTTGAACTCTTATAATCCCTCTCATCATACTAAGGATACTGCTATTTGGTCCCTGTTCATTTAACCTACTTGTAAAATTTGTCTCTTCCAGATTACAGCAATTCCACCTCAGATAATGGTTCATCAGGGTTTTCAACCTTCCCAAACACTCCTGCAGAAATTAGCTCAACGTCCTGATCAAGCTGGCCAATGAGTCCAAGAACCTTACCTTATGCCCTGACAGATAGCAAGAGAATGAGACCCAATCCTAACTTCGCCCGTTTGTCAGCAGGAAGTAGCCAGATGATTGTCTACATCCATAATCCCCCCCACCCCCGCAACGAATTGGGTGTCAAACTCTTGAGTGGAGAATGTTAGGTTAGGCAGTTAGATAGATAAGAGCAGGGCAGAGGCAGGACAAACTGATCAAAGACCATGTTTAAGTAAATGGGGAAGGAGGGATGGAAAGCTAAGAACAGCCATCAAATTTAGACCAAAATAGGACAGAGGGCATCAAGAGGGCAAATCTGCCAAAATCGGTCCTGGAAGGTCCCAGGTTCGATTCCGGTCAAGGGCATGTACATTGGTTGTGGGCACATCCCCGTTGAGGGGCGTGCAGGAGGCAGCTGGTTGATGTTTCTAGCTCTCTATCCCTATCCCTCTTTGTAAAAAAATCAAAATATATTTTTAAAAAAACACAAGAGGGTAAATCTTGCAAAAACAACTGCAAACAAATTCTAGCCCCTCAACTAAGGGATGAATGGTACAATAAGATTAAGACAGAAGAAGGGAGGGACAAGAATAAGATAAAAAGCCTAAAACTAGGCCCATTGAGGGCACTAGAACCTAGCTAGAGTTGCCCATCCAAGAGTTCCTCAGATGTATTTTCACTTTGAATAAAACATTGCCTTTTTTATCTCGTGTTGAATTCTTTCCTCTGAGAGGCAAGTACCTGATCTCCAGCACTGCTGACAAGACTAAGTCCTGCTTAGTGGGAAGTGTTCCATGAAGAAGACTTGATCCTTGATTGGTTTGGCTAAGTGGATAGAGCATCAGCCTGGGGACTGAAAGGTCCCAGGTTCGATTCCAGTCAAGGGCATATACCTTGGTTGCGGGCACATCCCCAGTGTGGGGTGTGCAGGAGGCAGCTGATCGATGTTTCTAACTCTAAAAAAATCAATAAAATATTAAAAAAGAAAAAGACTTGAGATTTCATGGAACTAAAATCTTCCAAAGGAAGGAACTGAACACCCTACCATCTTTCGGGGCTGAGGAGACAGACCTGCCAGGTTCTCAAAACCTCAGGAGAGGCACGTGGAATAACAGACTAAGTAGAGGTGACCTGGGCCTTATTTAAAATGCAACCCAACCCCAACCCAACTCAGTCTCTAATTGAATTGGGGTAATCAGTCTCTCCACCTGCCTAACAAAAGAGTGAAAGATACCATCTAGAACACAATATATAGCATATAATAGTAGTAATAGTAGTAGATATGTAGAGGCAGGAAAGTGGTAATCAAAAGCAAAAACAATATGAACACATGCATGAGAATCTGATTGTGTTCACAGTGGCCTCGTTGTTTCTTGAATATACTGTGTGCTCTTCTGCCTCTGGTGCTTTCTATCTGCGAGGAAAGATGTTTTTCCAAATAACTTCATGGTTCACTCATTTCTTTTAATCAGGTCTTCTAAATGTCTCTTTATCAGAGGCTTTCGCTGATCTCCCTATATAAAATGTTAATATAGAGTCAGATTCCATTTTTAAATATATATATATATATTAATATTTTTCAATATATTTTATTGATTTTTTTACAAGGAGGAAAGGAGAGGGATAGTTAGAAACATCGATGAGAGAGAATCATCAATCACACCCCCCAATGGAGATGTGCCCGCAACCAAGGTATATGCCCTTGACTGGAATCGAACCTGGGACCCTTCAGTCTGCAGGCTGACGCTCTAGACACAGCCAAACTGGTTTCAGCAAGTCGGATTCCATTTTTTATGTTTGACTGCTCACAGCTACTAAGCTTTACCCCTTCTGCTCCACATTTGGCCAGTTGATAAGAAAGTGTGGGTACTCTTTCCTTCAACACCTGTGGGAAATTCAAACTGCATGCAGAACTATCATTCTGGTTCCTTCCTCTAACCATTATAAAACCTGCTTCCAGCCAGTCTCCTTCCCCTGCTCTCTCAAGCCATTTTTGAACTTGCTTGGGAGCTGTCCTGCTTTCTCCATAAAGCCTCATGCAACCAGTAAACCCTTTCATACCGTGTGTGTGTGTGTGTGTGTGTGTAAGTGTGTAAGAGAGGGAGAGGGAGATTGAAATTTCATCTGAACCAAATTTTGGGAGAGAAGTTCATTCTATCTGTAGGATGGCCACAACAAAATAGCATCCACCTTTTTTTTTTTTTTTTAATATATTTTATTGATTTTGTACAAAGAGGAAGGGAGAGAGATAGAGAGTTAGAAACATCGATGAGAGAGAGTCATCAATCAGCTGCCTCTTGCACACCCCCCACTGGGGATATGCCCGCAACCAAGGTGCATGCCCTTGACCGGAATCGAACCCGGGACCCTTCAGTCCCCAAGCCGACGCTCTATCCATTGAGCCAAACCGGTCCCGGCAGCATCCACCTTTATAATGCATCCAGTGTTTTATTTTTCTTCATAGCACTTAACATCATCTGACATATTATATAGTACTTGCTTATTATTTGTCTTGATTGAATGATAGATCCCAGCATTTAGTGATGTATCTGGCATAATCACCACCCACCCATTCATTCAACCGATATTTATGGAGTACCTACTTTGTCCAGGCACTAGTGCTTTAATGCTATAATAGTGACCAAAGAAAGCCCTTGCTGTCATAGAGCTTACATTCCAGAGGACAGGGTAGGTATTCAATACATATTTGTTGAATTAATAATAATAAAAGTTTTTTTCCTTAGGTAGAATGTTAAAAAGAAACACAATGTCATATTATGAATATAAATGTTTAATCACTTTTTAAAAATACATTTTTATTGATTCCAGAGAGGAAGGGAGAGGGAGAGAGAAACAGTAACATCAGTATCAATGATGAGAGAATCATTGATTGGCTGCCTCCTGCATGTCCCACACTGGGGATCAAGCACGCAACCCAGGCATGTGCCCTAATGGAAATCAAACAGTGATCTGGTTCATAGGTTAATGCTCAACCATTGAGCCATGCTGGCCAGGCTTTAATCACTTCTTGCTACAAACTAGTACTTATTTAAAAATAACATTTAGTAATTTATACTTAAAGGACATGTTACAACAAACATCCTGAGAAGACAATAAATATTTTTTGAAGATTTACCATATTGAAGAGCTCTTAAATCTGCACATTGTTTGCATTAGTAAAATGAGATAGTTAATTTCTGGCTAATGATTACTGAAGAACACTGAGGAAAATTTTGACCATTATAATCAGTAAGAGTATAATTTTATATATCTCGAAGACAGTGGCCATGTTTAGCAATAGCCTCACATAAATTAAAATATATACTCTCTTCAATGTTGTATTTTGATGCTGTTTGTTATCTCTTCTCTTTTTGCAAGTAACCAACAAGGCACCAACTGCTTCCAGGTGGCAGTCCAAACGGAGGAGGAATCATGGCTAACCATCTAGTTGCTAATGTTTGTGAAAGGGAAATTGCAAACTCTGAGTATGGTTGAACTTCACCAAAAGGGGTGAAGCTCCTCCTTCTGACCACTATATTCCATGATAAAAGTGTTTAAATTATTAAACACTCTTGACTTCTAAAATGGATTTTTTAAATTCAATGCAAGGTTTCAATAACTATCAAAATTTCCAACACTGATTTTTCTAATATCCTATTTGCAGTTTTGAGACTAAGTTGAAAATTTTAATATCTTAAACAAATGTGATTACTATTTGTAATTTACATAACTTACCAGTGTAAGTTATGTAAAAATAACCAATCACATGACTCGAGGGTGCATTTATACTTCAGGTATAAATATAAGACTGATTTTTAGAAAAAAAGAATGAAGAACATCTCCATTATGTATCTTTGTTCCCAATAAACTTTTTCAAGACCTATAAAACATAGCATAATATCAACATACCTTTCATTTCAAAGGCCAAAAATAGTTTAAGTAGTGAGATAATTTCTGTTGGATTTTATATTTGCATCAACTCCTGAGTAAATCAAAATCAACTTAGTTAATCATTTCTCTTTTCTAAATAAATAGCAGTTGACTTAATCCCGCCCAAATGAGTGAGTCTCTTTTGGTTGATCAATGCGATAGAGAAACTCTGCAGGTAAGAAGTAGCCAAGATACTCCACTATATCTGGGGTAGTGTCATAATGGTAGTGTCCACCTTCTCCATGATGACTAAAACAGTGAGTGTGCTCCAATCGCAAATCAAACCCCTAGAACAATAGACAAACCATCTGTTAATATTCAAATTATTTTGAACAGAATTTACTTAAGGGGGAAGGAGGCCTTTTAAATTTATACTATGGTAGTTTTTATTTTATTGTTTAAGTAGGTAATACATTCATATGATCCAAAAGAATATATTCAGTAAAAAACATCTTTCCATTTCTTGTCCTCACCACTTACTTCCTTTCTTTGCAGGCAATTAATGTAAGCAGTTTCTTCCATATCCTTCTAGAAAGATTATATTTTTCACTCAAATAGTATTCTGTACATATTGTGCTGCATGTTGTTTTTCTTTCTTTTTTATTTTAAATTTTTATTGTTCATATTATTACAAATGTTCCTTCCCCCCCCCCCCACATTGTTCTCCTCCACCAGGTTCCCACCCCCCATTGTCCTCATCCATAGGTGCACAGTTTATGTTCAGTCTCTTCCCACATCCCCATCTCCCCTTTTCCCCAAGAATCTTCAGTTCACTCCCCTTCCATACCTCTGATTCTATTATATTCAACAGTTAATATTG